CAAATGGATGTATATCATTGTTTTATGAAGATTATATTTTGTATATCATTGTTTTATTTAATTACAAAGGATGCATGAAGATCATATTTTTGAATATCATTGTTTTATTTAGTTACATAAGGATGATCAAGATCATTTACAAAGGATGAAGATCATATTTTGTATATCATTGTTTTATATAGTTACAAAGGATGAAAATCATATTTTGTATATCATTGTTTTATATAATTACAAAAGGATGAAGATCATATTTTGAGTATCATTGTTTTATATAGTTAATTACAAAGGATGAAGATCATATTTTGTATATCATTGTTTTATTTAATTACAAAGGATGCATGAAGATCATATTTTGTATATCATTGTTTTATATAGTTACAAAAGGATGAAGATCATATTTTGTATATCATTGTTTTATTTAATTACAAAAGGATGCATGAAGATCATATTTTGTATATAATTGTTTTGCATAATTACAAATGAACCAATCTCTTCCACAAAATTGTGAAATATATCAGAGTATTTTCTGTCTACTGCATCTCACTTAACTAATGGTAAAATTTGCTAAACGTTTATGAAATCCAAACGGAAGAATTTAAATGTTTACTGAAGAATTTATGTATTATAGGTCTATGACCTTTACAACATCATAATCTGCCTGTCTAAACGTCTGGAAGAGTGAGTGGCTGGATGCTATGGCTGGATGATGGCTGGATGATGGCTGGATTAAAGTAAGGATATATGGGTTGATTAGATCAGGGGATGGAGTTTTCACTGAAGTGTTCAACGACATAAACAACAACAGAAAATAAAAATAAAATAAAAATAAAGCCAAAACTACAAAAACATCACATCCAGATGTTTTACACCATCAGTTCAGTGTGCTATGTCACAACATCTTCGCTGATGGTTCACGTTCCCAGGTAATGCATTGACGAGTGATGTATAACACAGTGGCAGCACCCTGTGACATGTGTTCAGTATAGAACCACCTGGACTATTGAATTGCTGAGTCACTGTTGCATTAACTTCAATAGTAAACGTGCCAAGGCAGTCCACTATTTATATTCATATACGTGAACACAGACTTATGATAATGCCTGTAGCTGATGTAATTGAAATGTTGTTGACAAAAAATTTTTTAGCAGTAGGTGAGAGAGTTTATATGCATTGAACTTTCAAACAGAATTATGACAAAAAGAAGTAACTTATGCGAGTGAACAAGGGATCTATCATCACTACATGAATATTTAAAAGTATTTGTCAAGCATGTTAGACATGGCAATTGTAGTAATTTCTAGTAAAAATATTTGTCATCAGAGTTTAATACACTGTTTATGAGCTGCCAGTACAGTGGGTATATGACAAAAACAAAATTGTAAGTTTGTCTTACTTTACTCCAGTATAAATTCACTAGAATAAAAGAAGGGCAATCTCATAATTTGGTATGTCCTTTCCTTATATGAATTTATGCAGGTGGAACTACACTATAGCTGATGTACGTATATATTAAGAGCACTAAAAAATAGTAGGTAGGGTGCTCTAGCCATGTTGACAAGCCATGCTGGTACAATGAGGCCTTAAGTAGTCTCCCTTTGTAGGTCACCGTCATAGCACATGGTGGTGAACTGAATAAAGGTTGCATCAGTCTGTCGAGTTGGGGACACACCTCGGTCACATGAACTCACTTGAACTATTCCCTGATGACTTTTCAAATGAATAATTCTGTTCACTATATTAGTGTTTTTGTTTTGTACTGACGACCTTGCCTCTATTATGTTCAAAAGACTATTTTCGATAGAGATCTTTCTGAGGGAATTAGACTTATTGTTAATAAAAGTTGTGAAAATAAGGGGTCAGGCATTGGGATGTTTTAATGTACAAAACAGACTGGAGTGTTTTTAAAATTGTCTTTCTTGTTGCCCCAAAATATGTTTGCCAAACATGTTGTTTTTGAAAATAAATAATATAAATGTAGACATTACCACAAAACAGGCATTTCCTAGGACTAAGCCCCATTGTGTTAGCAAGCACTTGTCTCGCTACCTGCATGTCTTGTCATGTGACAACCCCTCACCCTCCCCAGCTCAGCCTAAGGCTTCACAGCTGTGTACAGGGACATAGTGAGGGTTCCAGCTTTACCCTGGGACAGTCTCTGTCCTGGGTCTGGGGACTTTCCCACAGGCTGAGGGAGGCACAGGGCCTCTGTGTGTAGCCTTTACTGCAGGTATCTAGGAAACACCTATATTAAAACCTTGGCAATGTATTGCTTATATAGTGGGGTTGCAGGTTGATGATTTTCAGGAGTGGTGTGGAATGTACGCATAACAAAACATTCTTGAAGTTTTTAATTATAATTGAACTCGGATGACAATTATATTGGACCTTTAAGCCACAAGTACTTCATTTCACTTTGTGAAATTTATAAATAGTCTCAATTTTGATTGTCACAGCTATTGAGCTAAAAACCCAACAATATTTAAATCAACATTATTGCTTTTGACCCTGATCAGCCATTCTTTGTTACTGTTGTGTGTAATATTTAAACATGAAGACAAAATGTCCTTTCATTGAACAAAACTTTTCTGGTTTGATTTGCATTTAAAAAGCAATTCTACCATGACTTCAGTAAACACTGGATTGTGATTGGTTAATTAAAGTCATTCAGAGGTATATAATCACGTTATACAGGTCTCTGTTTTCCGTGCGCAATCATACATGGTTTACGGTAATGCACTATTTTTGTCTGCCCACTAACATGGCGGACACCAAACAACCTACCGATGCATCGATAAATTGCGGCGATTTTACTGTCGGAAATTACACATTTGTCTTTAAAGATGGATTTAACGATGGCGGGCTCGACTCACTACTTGCGTAAATCACAGCAATAGGTGTTTATACATACAAAAGTACTTGAAAGCATGGAAACAAATATTCAGTCGAACAAGATCAAAACATCGTCTGCTTTTCGAATAAAAATTCAGCAAAAACAAATACATGTATGTTTACGTTGATTCTATGTTATGTCAGGATAGATCCAGCAATATACTGCTACATAATTTCCGTGTTAAATTTATTATCAGCTTTAGGTCAGCGATATCGCCACTGATCTTGATCCGTAGCGGAGGATGCATTAACATCGAGCGCCGAAGAAATTTTAATGCCTTCGCCCACATAAATAAACAGTTGGGTTATCAATTCAAACAAAATGATATTTTGAAATTTGTACTGTTTCAAATTTAGAGGTAGTAAAACACAATAACAGAATCTGCAAACCGTTCTGTTTAGCCCAACATATTTTTTTCTAAAAGTATATAATATCGTTGAAAAGTTATTTAGCTTAGTCATGATCCCTCTTATCCATTACATTGCTTAATCTAAAGTAGTCTATTAAAGTATAATTAATTACCTTACCGTTGTTTATGCCAGAGGTACACCCTCATGTCCTGATCCATCCTTTCGAAATCACCACAAATCTGGCTCTTTGTCAACAGACTCGCTGAACATGCCAGCTTAATCCGATTCAATTTGAATTCACTACACTTTGAAGCCACTAGGTCACAAAACACTTTCCAAAATGTAGAAAATAATATCCGTGAGAATCAATTTGAGCACAAAAGTACACACATGAGTGTGTAAGAGTCACCACAGCTGTCGACGCAGGCGTAGAGGTCGCGTGAAATCGTCAAGTTGACAGAGCAAAATTCAACAGTATCTAAATTCGATTACAACACGGACTTCGTTACAGCAAAAGCCCTACTCTTAAATTTTGTACCAGTACCAGTAATTAGATATCAAAGACTATCTCAGTCATACAATCAGGTTAACCTTAGCGAAATTGTCAGTGGCTCTCCTGTCGCATCTTTCCAATTGTAAACAATGACTTGGCGAAAAAGGTCAAGGCCATGAGGTTGCTGCCACTATTCTGGTGGGGAAAAGGGTCTACTGGTGGAATTTTCAAATGTGAACCAAGCTTTTAAACTTATTTGATATATGTTTTCCAACTTATCAGTTAATGATTGGTGATTGATGCATTGAAAAACAAAACGTGATTTGTTATTACTGAATCTGGAGTTTGTTAGTCATTGACGGTTTGCCACCAAACACCCCGTTTCGGGCGATACCACTTGAGATTGGAATCTGAGGCCGCTTATTGATTGACTCGCAGAACTTCGTAAAGAAAGAGCTCCACCTGAAATTGTTCATAAAATTGTCATGGTAGAATGGAGATAAACCTCTGTTGGGGAAAATCAGAGGTATATAGCGAAATTATAATAGCTCTAATTGTTATTTAAAACCTCACGCTCACTGGCGTTGGGTTTTAAATGAAATTTAAACTATTACAATTTCTCAAGATTATATGATCCCATGGTTTAGGTTTTCTCTAAATATTCAGTTTATTAAAGGACAAGAAATCACAAATTTCAAACATTATTCTTTCGTTGAATGACTACTGAAAATTAATGATATGGCTAGAATTATGCGACATTACATTCTTTATTACTCACTGAAAATTGATATTGTTTTCCTTTTTCTAGAATCTTTTTCATCACAACTTCACTGCAGATGTTTGTCAGCTAAATAATGATAAAGTTATATATTTTTTAGACAGGTGAGCAATAGTGCAGTGTTCTCTATACTTCTGTGTCAGATGAAGAATCCATACTGGAACCATATTCATTTGTTTGTGTGATTTGTGCTGGTTTTGAGAAAAAAGTGATGTTGAGAATCCTCTTCACTACAAAATATCTGTCTAGTAGCATTATTTTCTCACCTTTCAGAAAACATATGTCTCAAGCCAGTGTAAGAGACGGGTCATTTATTACATGGTGTTTGATTGAGGAGGGAGTATGTCACAAATTGATACAGTTCTATGTTTTCAATCAAAAACATTTATACGACTGAATTGTCTGTAAACTTAGGGAATTATGTAGATTAGGGGATTATGGAAAAGAATATTGTGTAGAAATTTAGTTTTTTCTGATTTCTCTTTTCAGGTACTGCTTGACTTCATGGCGACTCTGGGCTTCAGCCAGACGTTCTTCACTATATCAATGTCATATCCTAGGATGAATTTATCGGAGCACCTCAACAAGACTTTGTGGGAGATGGGGTTCCAGAGACAAGTGACCTTGAATATAGAGGAGAAAGACACATGAGACAGTGACACCTGTCCTAATGTACCATGTTGCACAGAAGTGCAATGTTAAGCCCTTGACCTTCAGTTAGGTTATACTACTCAACATTCGCTAAGGACAAAGACAGCCCTCTGTAGTAGAAAGTATGTTTGTAAGCAAATGTTGTGTAGTATATAAAGATAACAGTTCTTGGTCTATTTATGATCACAAACTCTAACTCCATCTATAAAACAATATTTGAGAATGTTACGATGTATCATTGAGCTATCCTGATGCAGTCCTGTTGCAAAAAGGTTTCAGTTATAGACATTCGCCAGAAGTGGTCATGTGTGTTTTGACAGAAATGCTTTATTGACTCAGATTTACGTTGTTTCACTTGACATGCTAAAAATAGAATGGAGATTACCCAGTCAGGTAGTTCCCAGTCTGAAGCAACCCAGTGTCTTGTTTGTAGGAAACTCCCAACATTATCGTTGCATGATATGCGAAGTCTTGACTTTAATGTATAATGAGTAAGTACATCATAGAGTTAATAGGAGGGTTTTTTTTATCCAAAATATATAACATTGACCGAGGAAAAAGTCTGCGGTCAATATTTCATTTTTAAGGTCCATAAAACACAGGTGTTAAACTCATATGACATCTATAATTGTATATTGTTAGTGAGTAAAATATATAATCATTTTTCATTATGGCTCTATACCTAAGAAACATGACATAAATATCAAATGATCTCTTTTTTCCACATTAACTCAGCTGAAAGTGAAAATATCCTTGATGCCAGTTTGGTTTGATCTCCATTCCTTCCATTGACCTATGTAACCTGACACTGGAACTCCAGATATCTGTCAGCTCCCATCCAGTTCTGTAACCTGACACTGGAACTCCAGATATCTGTCAGCTCCCATCCAGTTCTGTAACCTGACACTGGAACTCCAGATATCTGTCAGCTCCCATCCAGTTCTGTAACCCGACACTGGAACTCCAGATATCTGTCAGCTCCCATCCAGTTCTGTAACCCGACACTGGAACTCCAGATATCTGTCAGCTCCCATCCAGTTCTGTAACCCGACACTGGAACTCCAGATATCTGTCAGCTCCCATCCAGTTCTGTAACCTGACACTGGAACTCCAGATATCTGTCAGCTCCCATCCAGTTCTGTAACCCGACACTGGAACTCCAGATATCTGTCAGCCACCCACTGCCCTTTCTAAGGTTCTTCACCACAAACACACTTGACAGTCATAGAGTGGTATTTACCACAGGACAGATGAGTGAGTGAGTGAGTGAGTGTAGTTTTACACCGCTTTTAGTAATATTCTAGCAATACCAAAGTGAGGCACCAGAAATGTGCTTCACATATTGTAACCGTGTGGGGAATTGAACCCAGGTCTTTGGCTTGATAGTGAACACAGTAAACACAAAGTCACCCTACCGCCCCAACAGATAAAAACAATCTAATACTGCTATTATAAGAGCAAGAACAAGGTTTTTTATGTTTTTGTTATCCCACCTTAAGACTTTATTACAACAAATCAAAAACTGTGTTTTAAATGCATGGACCTGACAAGGACCTATTTGCATTGTTCTTGTATATGGTAAATAGCCGCAGCTTGAATCTAACACCTGTGGTGTTCTACTGTAAGGGCTCTAATTATATTATATTTGGTACTCTGTAAATTGACCTTGTCAAGAAAGAGAATGGTCTTTAAGAAAAAGAAGACAATTTCATTTAATAGATTAAGTTTACAATTTAAGGTATGATGCAGTGTATGAAATAAGAATCATGTTCATGATGATACACTTCATATGAGAATCAAGAGTCGTATGTACAATGTTAGCACTCATCTGAAGATAAAGTAACATATATCATGCACATAGTTAGGGGTGGGTATTGCAGAGAATTTTCATATTGCGATATATTGCGATGCGAAAGCATGTATTGCGATATGTATTGCAATATATTGCATGAAGTATTTTTAAACAAAAAACTACTTATAATCAAGTTACTTCTTGATTTATAGAGCAAAAACACAACAAAATCACTAGGCTTGATTAAGCTTTAATAACAACTTTTAATCATGATAAAATAAAAATGTGAATAATATTTGGCACAAATGAAACAAGGACATATCCGAACATTTCCGAGTGTTACGAAGTTTTCCGAATACAAGTCAAAATACCGGTTTTCGATCAGCATATCGCAATATGTATCGTTTTCATGTCTGAACCGGTAAATACTGGTAAACCGGTTATATTGCGCAGCCCTACAGATAGTTACATGCTTTACAGGTCTGAGTGAGATACGTTGATCTAGGAGCCGAGCACTGTTAACAGAGCTGATAACTCAGTTTTGATTGATTACAGGAAGATTGCTGAAACATCACATGTAACAGTGTATTGAATAGGAGTAGAACAGCTGGAAATTTGTTGACTTTTTTCTCAAGCACGAAGAATAGGAATCTTGTTTATGAATTCTTATTTCATTAATTATTTCTGACTGAAATAATTGTTTGTTAATATCACTTTACCAGTTTATGAAATATTCTTGTTCATATTTTCCTATTATGCATGTCAATAATTGTGTGTGTGAGACTAAGAGCATATCATTATTCATATAAGATATATGAGTGAATAAATCTTTATTTTTCATATGATATGAAATGCCATTTTTGCAATAGGTATCATGTACAATGTATATTACTAAAATTAAGTTAAGGAACACCCATTTCTGGGTATGATTATTCTTAATCAGTCATTCTTTTGAGTGGTTTTTGCTGTTGATGAAAACGGCATCATTCCTCTAGCCCCCGTCCCCCATGCCCCCTGTTGTTACAAGCCACTAATTAGTACCTCTAGCCCCTCGCTTGGCTGTTTTGTTAGCCGTACTCACTCCCCTGTAACTGGATTAACTGTAGACTAACAACTAGTCTCTGAAATGAACATATTTTGCTGAAAAAAGTTCATAGTAAAAAAAAATATAATATAATGAAAAGGAGCCCTGAGACTTTCTTAATTTCCTGAAGCTGAGGAAATCTAGACTTGCCACATTTTCTAGACTTGCGTGGGCTTTCTTGGATACATTTGCTTCAGGGTCTGTACGACAGACTAGATTAACTGTTACTAAGCTTGTTAGGTTAGGTGTTGGTTGTGAGGAAGCATCCAGCCAAACACAGCTTTTGCAACTTAAGTGTGGACAGTCTGCTCCCAAACGTAGGAAGCAATATGTAGATAGAGATGACAAGAGTACGTCACATCGGCATTATTCCAGCCATATTGTGACGAAATCAAGTCTGCATTCATAAACACTTTAAATGAGTTTTATATTAAAAACATATTTATTCATGACATTGTTATTTAAAAACAGAAAATGTCATAGCACTAAATTCAAAAGCACGCAGTTCGTTATCCACATTACATAGTTACAATTTATGATACAGATTAACTTCCCCCAGGTATGTAGTTCACTATGATATGCCTGCCCACTCACGCGGAAAATTGATATCGGTGGTACATGAGTATAACAAAGGAGTACATACAAAATGTACAAGATGACTAAATGATACATCAATTAAAGTGTTTACAAACAATCTTCATGAACTTGGATACATTTTAAGAGTAGATATATTCCTTGAAAAAAGTTGACGGAACTTTGACAAATTCGGCCAGGAACAATAAGGTTCTTTTAACAATGATCATAATTCATTATATGAAATAATAAAACTATTGTTAAGTAGGGTCACGTACGTGCTGAAACTTGAAACAACTGAAACTTCATCTCAGTTAAGAGGCTCACAGATCGAGTATTGGGGTCGCGTGCTAATCTGAAGTACGGTAAGCCGATGTTTTCATAGCAATTCGCTTTCGCGGCACTTCTAGCACAACTTTGGTTTTCGCTTTACTGGGAATAGGGAATATTGAAATTCGCTTTCCCGGGTGGAGTGCAGGGGGACAGGGGCTAGAGGGGTGGAGTCATGAAAACAAGATCTGTCCATTTATTCAAGTGAAATTAATGTGGCTACCTTGTAGGCAGATATGAATGAAAAAGGCAAATCAGAACATTCTTTTTATATGAACAGTTTAATCAAACAAATCATCACAACAAATTGATCAAATTTTTACCTAGATCACTTCTTTTGTTTTGATTTTGTAAGACAGCTGGTGATGTCATCTAGTGTTCTGATGGCATAGCATTCAATAGAGGTCTTGTGTATGCATTTCTTTTTTATCTGAGTATTTTTTTTGTATCACTGAAAAGTAAAAATAACCCTTTGAAAAGGAGTACCATAGTATATTATTCAGAGGTATCTTTTAGGATTAAACTGTGGCTTTTATCCTAGCAGCAGGATCAAATGATACTGGGCATTACTCAGTGTTTGTTTTGACAACCTATTACAATTTTATGAAGAACCGGGGACTATTTTATGGATATACAACTTATTTATTCTATATAGGTGATGTTTAGACATAATATTCTAATTTGTTTGACAATGACATTATAATCTATGTCGAAATGTCGCCTATACAGAATAAAGAAGTTGTATATCCATAAAAATACATGTAGTCCTCATTCTTCATCTCCTCAACTTCTAGAATGCCAATCATAGAAGAATTCTTACAATTTTATACCTTGCAATATTGCCTGACAAACATGTGTAGGGTTGAGGCAAGTGTTAAAACAAACTACTGTTACCACACAGCAATCAAATAATCAGGAACCCACAGAGGAAATCCTGTTCGTCAGCAAGTGAGAGTTTGTGCTGTATCATGTTCCAGTGGAAACATGGAATGACGTCATAGTCTTTGATCCTGCTGGGGTCTTGACAACTTTATCAACAGATAAGACACAACATATTCACTACTATTAATTATGAATGTGGATGAGTATATTATTTTTGTGAATGTATTCTACAGATACAAATTTACATGGGAAATAAGCAATACCAATGAGACAATTACATTCTCAAATATTGTTATGATCATTCTCTGAAGACACATTTTGTACAAAGTCCAGTGGGTGTTATGTTCTGACCAGAGTATGGGTGTTTTCCAAAGTCATGTAAAAATATATACATTAGAATTTCAAATCTTGGAATCTCCTGATTATGATCCATGGTTCATCAGCACAATGAGGGTGATCTTAGGTTTTACCTATGTGATAAGCATTTAGACATGTAGACATTTGAGATTTCCACCCTTAGCTGATGTGAGTGAGTTAAAATTTAAGGTTGTGCTGGCATTGTGTCTGCTGTATAAGGATGATGTAGTTGATATTTCTGAAATACTGTTCAAAGTGGCCTATCACCAAAACCTGCCATAAAGGAGACTTATTGGTTGTGGTTGTTGATATTTGTTTCTAATTTGTTTATATTGTTAATCAAACTTTGCCCCAGAAGCCTTGACTGGTGTACAGAAAAAATCCTGTTGAATAATATGATTATTTGTTTTCAGCAATGCATGGATGAGGTTTCATACACATCTATATTGTAAATTAATTATGCAAATAAAGATTTAACATAATGCTGCTTGTCCTGGTAATTGTGTGCACTGAAACATATGATTTTGTGAATGTTTGTTATGCTTATGAAAACGTTCCATTGTATACCTAGGGCAAGACTCCTTTTCACCAATAGCTGGCTGATTTTCATTGATCTATTTATACAATTAGCACCACTAATAGATTAGATGGATTTGGCTCTGATGATGACTTCATCATTTGCACAAACGACTCAGAGGGATATGACATCATCTGCCGAGAGAGGAATTCGTATCCTGTACACCTTATTAGGATTAATGGTAAGAACTTGTTCTTCTGAATCCAGTTTTCAGTGCCATCACAAACACCCACGTTCATAAATATTATAATTGATATGTCTTATCTGAAATATACACAACCTGGAATTACCAGCTGGAGAATAATCCTATCATCTGTTGCAGAGTAATTACTATGAAATCCAGACAGTAATATTATTAATGTAACTTACGCCTCACTACAAAACTGTAAACGAAATGGAAATATACACAAAGAACTTAGTTAAACAGCCCTTGACATATCTTACGATTGAATTAGCCCCGATCTTAACGCTTTGGGGCATATCTGGGACATGGTTGGTCGTCGTGTGCAGCAAAGGGGTCCTGTACAGAACCTGGCCCAATTGGAAGCTGCTTTACACGAGGAATGGCGTAGACTACCCCCCAGAGGATTAGGAGGCTGACAGGGGGTATGAGGAGGAGTGTGCTGGCTGTCATACAGTCACATGGAGGTTACACTCGGTATTGACCTTGAATCGTGTAAGACGCAAAATGACATTCTGAATGTTCATGTTCACCACGTATTCGTCGCCAAGTCCAAATCTGCAAGATGACCAACAATGCAGATAACAGTTTCTGATAATACCGACAGAAAGATAATGTAAATTATGTTTTGCCTTGAAGTGTATTGTATTTTGATAATTTACCACAAAAAAACTAAATACATTCGTGTATGCAAACGAATAATATCTAACAAGTGTATCTGATATGTTACAGTATTCTGAGCACAAGAGGTGATAAGCGCGGAATATTACAGTAGTTGAGCCCTGAAAAAAACCCCCAAAACCTCTATTATATTTTGGATATATCGCGTTCACGCTCTGTCGCATTCTCCCTGTATTGTATATTCGCCTTGTTACGCATGTGCACACATGACACATAAATACTACTCTTTTGTATGTAGACAGAATGCCAGTCTGACAGCGGGACACAAACAACACGTTCACTGTGATATAGCTGCACTTACACTTACATGCTGTACAAGCATATCAATGAACTTCGTATTGTTAACAACGTTAACAGTGTGAGGTTTTATCAACTGTAATAACTCCAATGTCAGAGAGATGTCTATCAAGCTACATTCAGTTTGTTTATTCAGCATGTATGGCCTCCGGCCCATATACAGATGATACAGCAGGTTGGAACTGCAACTTACAAAAT